TATACTGAAAATTTTTTTGACAGTTGAGAAGCTCTTTTATGCATATGTTTTATATGTTGTTCTATGGCCAGCTTTGAAAATTTGATTTTAGTCGTTTTAATGTATGTCTGTCAAGTTTTGAAATTTGGATATTTTGGTGTAAAATTTTCTTACCCAATACTTACCTACCACTGGTGGTACCAGTAAATTTTTGCTCACTCACGCATATTTTAAGAAAAATATCAATCGTCTTCTACTCTGGATAAATTTCAAAATATTCGTAAGTTCGAAAAAAATTTCGGAAATAATTTAGGCACTAGTGGTATTCTAAGTGAAAATATAGGTCTGGCTGACAATTAAAATCACGAAGGCCTGCCAGACTCACAAGTAGTGTTCGGCCGAAGGTTCGGTTACGGTATGGCCAACTTCGGCTTAAAATAAGAGTTTCGACTACAGTTTCGGTTTCGGCGGAAAACTGGCCGAAACTGCAGCCAACTACGAAACTACTTTCGAAAGTTTTCGTATCACACTTGGTTGTGTCCGGCACAATGTCGACTGTGCCTGGTGCCATTCCTACACAGTGCACGTACTTCTCTGCTTTGTTTCAGGTGAACAGTCTTCAGTGCTCCTGGCCTAATTTATTCGTATCAAAGGAGCATTTTTTTAGGTGAAACGTGGAAAAAATATTATTTCTAGCCTACAACGTTAGACTGTTTACTTATGAATATTAATTTAATTATAAGTAACAAACATATTTAATTATCTGAATTTGTTTTTTTTTAATAAAAATTACATTATATATAATTCTCTTCATAATACTATTTTTTGTTACAAAAAATCTAGAGACAGATGCAGAAATGATTGCTACTTTGTAATTCACTTATTTTTTTTTTAGTTTCAAATGTAATAAAAAAAAGCAATGCCAATAAATTTATTAATGGCTTCTTTTGATCACATAAATAAATAGGTAATAAGTAAATGTAGCTAAAATTTATAATACGAGTTAATTAGTCTTAAAAAAAGATATTGCAAATTTCAATAAGAGATTGCCTTAAAAGAAAGTTCTTATTTCTGTTTCGGTTTCGATCGAAACTAAGAAAGGAGCCGAAATTGGGTTTCGGTTTCGGTTATAAAACCGTATTTCGGTCGGACCTGACAAGCCAGGTAGTTAAACAAGGAGAGGAATAGTAATCGAAAGTGCAGAATTTAGCGCGCCTGACGATCATTAGACAAGTCTGGCAAGGCTTTCGGGATATTCCATATTAGCCAGATTGTATTTTAAGCTGTTATCATAATATACATTTTTCTAGTACTGAGGACACTTGTAACAGGGATCTTTAATGGACATTGCCAACTAAAAGGACACCTTAGTAAACTGAGAGTAGTAGAAAATAGTGAGTGAAGATTCTGTGAGGAGAAGGACGAAACCTTCATTTATATTCTAACTGAATGTGTAGCACTCTAGAATCCAAGGGCACTATACCTAGGAGCATATCAAATAGAAACTTGAAGCCACTCCAAATCCTACACTTCCTTGAGAAGATATAATTGAAAGGGTTGTTATAGGCATTGAGACATTTCCTTGCTGCATTAGCGACAGAAGGGGGCACAATAGATATTTTAGGTCGCAGTGTATTAACACCCCATTCCCAACATAACATAGCGAGAAAACTGCAAAATAATGAAATCCACAAATCCCAGTTCATATTTTGGACATCCAACTACTATTATTTTTAAAATTTTAAATTATGACAAAATGTCAGTATATTTTTTAGTCATTAAGATTACATATACGTTAAAATTAGTTATTTTTGTTTAGAATCGATAAAAAATAACATTTTAATTTTATTTGGGCCACATTTAAAAAAGTAAATTTTAATCAAATTGTATGAAACTAATTTAATTACGAGTATAAAATTAAAAACCTAAACGTGGCGGTGGAGCTGAGGACAGAGCATTTGCCTTCCACGCGAATAGCCTGGGTTCGAATCTGGACTAGGGGCTAATTTTTTTTATGTTTTTATTTTATAAATTAATAAAATTTATAAATTATTTTAAAATGGCTTATTTTGTCTAAACCTAAAATAATTTTTTAAATTTGTAGATTTTCGTTAGTAGTTCGTAGAAAAAATATACTGCACAACTCGAGTGGATTGTCCATATCTACTCTTGTTGCGAAAATTAGGGAAATTTTTGTGATGAAAATTATTGTGATGAAAATTATTCAGTTTTTTCACTTATATATGATATTTTATTCATTTTCATAGATTCGCCAGAATTTTTTTACTTAACTTCAGTATACCTCTAGAACTATTATATATTATATGACTAGGGTTAGGGCTTTAGCCCCCCCAGATCTGATGACATAACTTCGCCCATGAGTAAGTGGTATTAATATAACCTCAAGTAATTTTTTAAACAACAAGTATTTTTTTAAAATAAAGTACATGATCTCAAAACAAATAATCTATAATAAATGCGGATAAACGAGGGGTAAAATAACAATAAATTTAGGGAAATACTTAAAAAGGGCAGGTTTAAAGAGTATTATCACAAGAAAGTATATCCGTTCTGTTTATTTATCAAGTATTGTTTGAGGTTACTTTTGAATACATTTATTGTTTTTTTTTTCAATTTTTGTAGGCAATCTATTAAATTTTTTAAACCTATATTGAATTTTTATTGAATTTTTTCTAATAGATCTAATGCGATGGTACTATGTCATTTTTATTTTATAAATAAATATCAGTCATGTACTGAACATAGTTCTGAACTGAAAGCCAATTTATTTCTTTTAACATAGTTGCAATACTTATCCTTCTGTCCTTTATTAATAGAATATAAATAGGCGAAGTAAGAAGCCCAACTATTTTACATGAGCAGGCTTAAGAGGTAAAGAGGCCAATTATTATTGAATATATTGCTCAAACAAGTTTTTAAACCCTAATCAAAAGGTGATATAGAATGGTTTTAAAAATCAAGTTAAATAATTTCTCGTTTTTTGTTACGCTACGAGTTTACCCTTGTTGGCCTCAGTCTCAATAAGGTGGGAACCACCATTTTAGCGTCTCTCGAATTTATCAAATAAAAAACTACACTTTAAAGCCGGAATAATATTTTCTTCATCTTATTTTCCCATCCCTGAAATTTTACGTATCATTTGATTTCCGAATTTAATAATTTGTCACATGATAAATAATACTATAATTTCATAGAAAATACACGTCTGGCTGTCATTTACAATCACGAAAGCACCGCCAGTTGATGATATGTCATTGGAGTTTCATTTTTCAGTATTATTTTTAATTAATTTTAATTTTATTTTTCATTGTTCTAATTTTTGCACTTGTATTTTTTTAAAGTTCGATGTTAAATAAAAACTTTTTTTTTAGCATAGGCACATTGCCATTCAGCCAAAATAAATAAAAACTTATTTATGCGATTTTCATTAAAATTTATGATTTCGTAAATTAATATTTTTCAATCTGCCCAATAAGAATTCGGTATTCTATACACTCACTACAGTGTATTTGCTTACTTTGATTTTTTAGGCAGCTGAAAGTGATCCTCTTGTTTTAGCGAAATGTCTAACCGCTAGTTCATCCGTCATTAATATCTTTGTTGGAAATTTAATTCTCTACAATATTGCTTCTTAATGTTGTTCGTATATTTTGTATAGTTCCACAGACAGTCGCGCCTGAATGTTAGAAAAATTCGCTTTTTTTTATTTTCACTATATCTTACAAATTAATCGAGATATTCAAAAATGTTGAGAGATCTTTTTTGTAGAAAATTAAATTCCCTACAACAATAATTATTATTCTTAATCATTCTCCCGTTTCTTGTTTAGTTCCGAAGATACTCGCGTTTAAATGAAAAAAAATTCGCCATTTCTTTTTTATTGCTATAACTCAAAAACTAAGAGAGATATAGAAGAATGTCAAAAGATCGATTTTGTAGGGAAATAAATGTTCAACAAAAACAACAATACAACTTTCACGTATCTCTGATGGTTAAAAAGTTATTCGCGAATGATTTTGGATGACTAACGGACGGACTGACGGACAGAGATATTACTAAAACCATGTTTTTTGGATTCCTGGGATCTTGAGAAAAGTGGTTTTTAGCCATAGTGAATTTCGCCCTAAACCAATACTTTTCCTATCATAAATTATGAAAAGTAAAAACAATCACAACAATCACATGTATAATTGAACATGCCGACTTTAACGCGCCTGACGAGAGTTGGACGAGTCTGGCAAGGCTTTGGGGGTGATCCACATTAGCCAGACTATATTTGCAGCTGTAATTATAATATAAACTATCATCTGAGAAAATTTTAGGACTGAGAAAATAAGGTCAATGGCTTTGATAATTTTTTTTTTTTCAATTTTTCACCTGCCAGACATATTACCCATACTCACATATTAGCCAGACTATTTTTGTTCCTAACTTCACTATATCTTTCACTAATAGAATTTTTATTACCGGAAAAAAGTGCAGTATATTTGTACTTTCAAACGCATTTTCCGCCTCAACCCATCGGAACCCCCCCCCCCCTACATATATATGAATTTTGCTTAGAATAACAAACCGAATAATTTTATCAGTGTTTCCTGACTGAGAAAATAAGTACAAAAAACTTCATTGTCTCCTGGACTATATGTTATGCTGTGGTGCGAGGGTGCGCTAATCTTTGGTATGTAAACTCTTATTTAAATAATACATTTGTTATTACATCGCCTATCGATCAACGCTCATTTCTTACATACGGGAGCTCACTTAAGAGGTAAAGCGAATTTTTCTGTAAAGTTTCATGCAAATAAATCAAATTTGATCAAAAGTGTAGATACGAGGTGTAACTTCTTCAACGATCACTTTGAATTTAAATACAGTAGGTATGTAACCACGTCTCCCCTGAGATTTATTTTTGTACATTTAATTTGTGGATTGTGTTCAGCTATCGGTTGCATTCTATTCCTGTGTTATCAAAAAAAAACTTTTGATAAGTCGATACATACCATCCTTGTTGGCAATATTCGAATAGCCTTATTGGGATTCGTTATAGAAACTTTTATACCGATAAATACTTCTGTGCCCACGTTTGCCATAACTTCCGACAAAGAACCGCTATTTTTATCAGGAAAATCCATAGGGTTGAAAATGGATACGACGTATCCTCTGATATCGGTAGTAGTTACAAAATAATCGTCCGAAGTGTCTTTCATTACTAACTGCAGTCCTTTTTTCGGACCTGAACCCATCCCATTTCGTGCTTCGAATGGCAAATTGTTGTTTTTGTTCAATTTTTTGAACCTAAAATAAAAAAAAATGGCATTACTGAAGTCCAAAATATCCAATTCTGTTTATTATCATAAAAAATCTGATGTGTCCAACACATGACTTTCCTATCTAGTTATTATAGGCTTTTTTCGGTTATTTTGTACAACCTATTGCAGCATCTCTATAAATGTTTAGAGGATAAACTAAATATATACATTGTCCACATACATCTACCTCGAAACATTTTTCTATAGATATTCATTGAAAATGAAAATACTGAAAAATTTAAATTTCCTACAATTTTTTCATTACGGTCCATTTTAGAAAAATCATGTATAAACAAAAATTTAATCCTTTTAGTTCAACAATTTTCATAAAAATCTGAATTTTGCCCATTTTGTCAAATTTCTCGAATACGGACCATTTCAGGAAATTTTGACATAAAACAGAAATTATAGATAATATTAGAAGTAACTTTTATTTGAACAATTATTTTCTCCAAACATAAATAACAGATATATTCCATAAAATATAAAAATGACCACCTATAAAGTACACCCCCAGATGTTCCGACTTTGTCCAAAATCTAATCATTTTACGTCAGTCCAAAATAAAACTTAAGTTTAAAATTTAATATTTTTTTATCCGTTTTTGAGTTTTCTTCAAATTGCAAATTTTACAATTTTCTCAAATTTCTCGAATACGGACAATTTTAGGAAAATTTCGTATAGGACAAAACTTATAGATAATAATATTAGAAGTAACTTTTATTTGAAGAATTTTCTTCCCCAAACGTAAATAACAGATATATTCCATAAAATATAAAAATTACCACCTATCAAGTCCCCCCCCAGATGTTCCGACTCTGCCCAAAATCTAAACAGCTCATTGGACGCTAGAACAAAGCTTAAGTTTAAAATTTGGTGTTTTTCTGTGTATCGGTTCATGAGTTATGCGACACACACACACACACACACACACACACACACACACACACACACACATACACACACACACACACCCACGCACGCACGCACCCACGCACGTACGCACGCACGCACGCACGCACGCACGCAGGCACGCACGCACGCACGCACGCACCCACACACACACACACACACACACACACACACACACACACACACACACACACACACACACACACACACACACACACACACAGAGAGAGAGAGAGAGAGAGACATCATCGCGAAAATAGTCAGAACGGTTTCAGGGGACCTCAAAACGTAAAAATCCGTCAAAAACTCGAGGTCGAAAAAAATCATGATTCATTCCTATACTTTCCTTATATCTGTATACAGATAGGAAAGTAAAAAACGCTTTTTTTCAATCTCTAGTTGTTAGATAAAATTAAGTATAGTCCAGAACACTACACATGGTCGTTTTCTTGGCCCTTTGTCCATTGACCAGTTTGGCCCGCCTACGTCAAACTACACATTTTTCAGTAACAAAATTACATTTAGGTACTAATTGCCTTTTTTAGGAGCTGCCCAGACAGCACACCAAATCCTTTGGATATCTAGTGGACATTCCAATATCCACTGAATGAAAATAGATGTCCAGTCCATGGTGGCTATCTATTTTATATCCATGATGTTATTTATAGACATGCAAATGTCCATAAATAATAGTAATTACAAAACAAATTATTAAAAAATTACACCATTATGGCTAATATAGTACCGTTTATATATTTCAAATTAGGATGTATTCAATATCCCATGGATATCCACTAAATATATCAAAGTCTAGGCGCGAACGCAAACCATGGTGGATATCCTTTAAATGTAATTTATGGATATAATATGTACCTAAATATCGGAAAATAAGTAAATGGATTTATTAATTATTAAATTACTTAAATATTACGCCATGTGATAACTAAGAAAGTATGTAGGTATTGTTTATAGAAATTTAAAATTAGTAAGTTTTATTCAATATCCCACAGATATCCGTTAGATAAATAATATTGGCAATGAACGCGAGCGCAGGCGCGGATATTTTCTGCCCTCACAGCTCACAGGTGCCATCGGCACTAAATTTATTAGTGTAAAAGGTTGATAGACTTAAGTTAAATAAGACAATGGTTAAATTCACGTTATTAAGATTATTAAGGCCCGTATTTATAAACAGAACTTACGTGAGTCGGACTTGGGTAAGTCGTCCTTGAACGAAAATCGAAGTTCGGTTATATCGCGTGAATTTAGAGATGGGTAGTAACGAATTAGTAAATGTACATAACAGTTATATATTTGCTAATCTCCATCTCTAAATTCCAGTTTAACACCAGAACCACCTAGAACTTTAGAGACGCGGTAACCGAACTTCGATTTTAGTTCAAGGACGACTTACCCAAGTCCGACACAGCTGAGTTTTGTTTATAAATACGGGTCTAAGTAGGTTGTATGCAAAGTACGTTAAAATCCGTACTTTTTAGTTACCTAATTCACAACTAGAAATTCATGTCGTTTTTACGATACCCTATTTTATTATACCTACCTCCTTATTGCGTGTGAAGTAGATGTATTGTATTATTGTTGGTGATACGGTTTGGTTTTTATTATTTTATGGTTGTTATAATTAATTAGAAATAGATATTTTTTCACTGGTTGAGGTAATTTTATTACATCTGTCTTGTATTCAATAGCATGCATCAATAATTTAATGAATAAGGTTAGTTTATGTTTGGCTGGAACAACAGTTTAGATTTTAGATAAATAAGTAGGTGTATTATATACACATATCCAGCCCTTTTAAGACGGGAGTTGAAAAGACACCAAATCACAACTGAGAACCGTTACATATCTTGGAAACCAACCTCGTTCAATTACTGTTTAATAAAGTATTTTACTCAAAACTATTTTCTCTAAATACTACCGGTTTTCGCTAAAGCTACGTTTACACTTGGCAAGTTTAGTGGCGGAAAATACTTGCGGCCACTAAACGTGCTTGTAAATTGTGTTTACATATTTTCAAGTTTATTTGCTAATTTATTTTAAGTAGTTTAAAAGAAAATGGCTCCAAGTGTTGTAGTGCGTGCTCAGTGGCGGCTCGTGGGCACTAGCGGCAGTGGGGCACACACTGGAAAGGAATCCCGGAATTCATTTTTCCCTTGGGTAAAGTTCTCCGCTTAATGAAAATTAAATATATTTCAAAACAATCAGTTGGGGCAATAACGATTTCTGAATGTGACTACAGGGAGCTAAATATGACCACTCAAAATGCATTTAACTATGTATGTGTCTATTTAATCAAAAAATCATTAAATTTTCACTCTTGCGAAATTTGCGTAAATTTCTCAGAAGAATGCAATTTACTTAACAATTCTAACTTGTTAACGCATTTTAAAGCATACAACTCTGAAGAAAAGGTGTTTGGCAATTTAAAATCTCCCAGCGAAAAATTTTTTTTTTATATTTTTAAATTAGAAAAAATATTTATATCTCTATTTGATAGTTTGTCAACTAAGCCTGAAATTTCCAACGCATACCTGTTTGAGATGAGCAAAATAGAATTTGGTCATCCTTGCCAACAATTTGCGAAAATGTACACCATTAAATTATTTATAAGACTCAGAATTTTTTATACTCTTAAATATGCAAACAGAGATTTGAAATCCTCGAAAAAGTCAGACAAAACCAAAAGAAAAATTAAAATTTTGTCCCATCTCTATTTTTAGATGTACAACATCTACAAATTTATGTCCCGTCATAATAAATTTCACAAATTCACAAGTTCGGCGATGTTTTGTAACCTAGGCGGTCGGACTAAACGTTCAACGGTCGCAAGCTCTGCTGAAACTGGAACCAACGCAATCGTCCGTACTATTTCTTCCGCTGGATCTAGGAAGAAAGTGGTGGGAGCTCTAGGCTATTGCCGCCGCGTACATTCGTATCTGGCGTAGGTTAATCTGGGACAGCGCCCTGCTTGTGACGTATAATCCATCGCATGTGTTCATCTCTTGCTAAGCGATATTGTCGTTGTCCTTGTTTTTCTCATCATAATGAGATATAAAACAACAGAGGCACACATTTACTGTGCCCATCTTCGGAAAGTCGCTCAACGCCCGATCGCCCAATGTCGTGCCAACGCGGTTTGCACTGAATATTAGATAAAATAATAATATGCATTGAGGAAAATATAAAATATGTAAGTTATTTTTATTTTGTTTATTATACTAGGACACGTGCCCAAGAGCCCTTACGGGCAAACCGCCACTGTGCGTGCTGCTTAAAGTTGTTGCAAATGAAATTGTCAATAATTAAAGGCATTTCTTTATAAGCTTACCAGAACATACTTCTGTAACCAGAGCATTTCTTTATAACGTTTGGTTACTCTGCTTTGGTTACATGTTACCAAAGCATATGTAGCTACATCTAACGAGGCATTTCTTTATAAGCTTACCATAACTTACTAGAACATACTTATGTAACCAAAGCAATTCTTTAAACGGTTTGGTTACTTCCATGACATCATACGTTACCAAAATACGTAACTACTACTAACCATGATGTTTTTAGTGGTAAGGTGTGTGGTAAGGTCAGTAAGGTCCACATTTAAACATATCGAGCATGCGCAAAGTATTGTAAAGATATTAAATTAGATACATTTTTCTGTGGTTACGGGTTATATGGTTCATTTTGTATATTTGGGTTGGGCATTTTTGTATGTACAAAAGAAAACTCTATTTACTATGAAAGAAATTATATTTGAAATACAGGGCACTGAAATAACTCTTCACGAGAGCGATGTTGATGACCACTGGATACTGTTATTTATATTGAAATATAAAGATGAAAATATGAGACTACTGGCACAAGTATTTATCATTGTTATTTCATCACAAATAACACTTATTAATTTTTTTTTCTTCCTTTTGTTGGAGGAGACATATTTAAATAAATAACAAAAGCACGAAAACCAAATGACGTCTGTGACAAAAACACTTTTATTTATCTGAACAAAAACAAAGTAAACAAATCCCAATTTGACATGTGACAACGACAAGTGCT